GAGTAAGTGCCGAAGAAATCATCTGCTTCTTTCTAGGTATAACCTTTGGCCACAAGCCTAGCCTTGTACTTCTCAACAGTTCCATCGGGCCTAAGCTTCTTCATGAACACCCACTTAGATCCCAATGGTTCACAACCATAAGGACGATCTGTGATCTCCCATGTTCCGTTAGCCAAGATGGAATCCATCTCGCTACGGACTGCATCCTTCTAGTAGTCATCATCTAGAGATGCATAAGCTTATGAAATGGAACTGGGAGTATCATCATCCACGAGGTACACGAGAAAATCATCACCAAAAGACTTTGTAGTCCTCTGTCTCTTGCTCCTAACAGGAGCTTCCTCATCATCATCCGTGGATCTCTCATCACTTTTATGTTCATAATATTCCATCGGAATGGCTGGTTCAGGAGTCTCATCAGATTCCAGTCTAGAAGTGCTTTGCAATCTCTCATGGGGAAAATATCCTCAAAGAATGGAGCATCCGTAGACTCCATGATCGTACCGACCTTCACGTCGTGTACATCAGATTTCATCACTAGAAATCTATAGCCAACTCTATGCTTGGCATAGCCAAGAAAAACGCGGTCCACGGTCTTTGGTGCCAACTTGCGCTTTTTTGTTTATCAACACGTTGACTATCGCCAAACAGCCCCAAGTGCGTGTAAGAGAGTGTAGTTCTTTTCTTTTCCCATTGCTCATAGGGAGAGTCTCATCACGCTTTGTGGGAGCTTTATTCAAGACATGACATGATGTCAATATAGCCTCCCCGATGGTACAGTTTTTCCATGGTGTTAACCAAATCAGTTAGAGTACGGGTTTTCCATTTGGCAACCCCGTTTGACTGGGTGAATAGGGATGCGTCCTCTGATGAATAATACCATGTTTTGCACAGAATAAATCAAACTCATTAGAAAAGTACTCTCCACCACGATCAGACCGAACTCGTTTTATTTTGTTCTCAAGTTGGTTCTCAACTTCAGCCTTATAGACTTTAAAGTAGTGTAGAGCCTCATCCTTAGTATTTAACTAATGCACAGAGCGGAATCTAGTGGAATCATCAATCTGAGTCATGATGTATTTATTTTCACCTTTAGTCAACACACCATTCATCTCACCGAGATCTGAATGTATGGGCTCTAACGGTGCCAGGTGTCTCGTGAAGCTTACGAGGTTGCTTAGCTTGCACACACGCATGCTACTTAGAGCCTATGGATAAATTGAAACTCGGGATTAAATCCATCTTAGCTAGCCGCGTCATACAACCGAAATTTATGTGACAAAGAAGTGAATGCCAAACTTCATATTTGTTCAGATTAGAATGAATTTGGTTCACGACTTTATTACAGAAATCATCCAGGGAAAGGTGGAACAAAACACCACAATCATATCCTTTTCCAACAAATAGTCCATACCGAGATACGACTACTTTGTTAGACTCAAATACTAACTTAAACCCTTCTTTACATATAAGGGAGCGAGTAACGAGATTCTTCTTGATGGCGGGGACATGCTGCACGTTCTTTAGTTGCATGATCTTTCCCGAAGTAAACTTCAGATCTATCGTGCCAACACCACGAACAGAAGCATGCGAGCCATTCCCCATCAAGACGGAACAATCTCGTGGGACCTGGTAGGAAGAAAACAAAGACACATCAGCACACACATGAATATTGGCCCAAGTGTCAACCCACCAACCAGTGGACTAACAAACTGAAACTATGGTAAAGAGATTACCATACCCAGATGCCGCGTCATTGTTGCTCAGAGTGACATTGACAGACTTGGAGTCCAATCCTGGAATCTTGTACTTGTTTGGGCACTTGTTTTCCCAATGTTCCTCTAAACCACAAGTGAAGCATCCATCTCTCTTTTTCTCTTTCTTCTTACCCTTCTTCTTAAAGGTAGTATTCTGCTGGACAGAGTTCTTTCCCTTGAACTTGTGGAACTTCTTCTACACCACATTGATGCTAGAAGAACCCTCTGCCCCTTTCACGTGTGAGTCCTTTGCTCTTGAGTTCTGCTCAACATTGAGATGACCGATGACATCCTCAACAGAGAACTCACGTCTCAAGTCCTTGAGAGAAGTAGCGAAGTTCCTCCAACTAGGAGGGAGTTTTGCAATAATGCAACCCATGATAAACTTGTCTGATAACTCACACTTCAGGAGCTCCAGCTCCTTAGCAATGCGCTGTATCTCATGAGCCTGGTCCAATACAGGACGATTATCAACCATCTTGAAATCATGGAACTGCTCCATGGCATTGATATGTCCATTTTGCATCATGCTTTTATATCAATATTTATTGCATTACGGGATGTTAGTACACATTATATCACATTACTTATGCCTTTTCTCTCTTATTTTATAAGGTTTACATGAAGAGGGAGAATGCCGGGAGCTGGAATTCTGGACTGGAAAAGGAGCAAGTATTAGAGACCTATTCTGCACAACTCCAAAAGTCATGAAACTCCACGGAGATCAGTTTTGGAATAAATCATAAAATATTGGGGAAAGAAAGCACCAGAGGGGGGCCACCAACCAGCCATGAGGGTGGAGGGCGTGCCCCTACCTCGTGGGCCCCCTAGCAGGCCCCCAACGCCCATCTTTAACCTGGAAAAAAATCAGAGAGAAGCTTTCGGGACGAAGCGCCCCCGTCTCGAGGCGGAACCTGGGTAGGATCAATATAGGGCTACGGCGGAGCTGTTCTGCCAGGAAAACATTTCCCCTGGAGGAGGAAATCATCTCCATCGTCATCACCATCGATCCTCCCATAAAGAGGGGGTCAATCTCCATCAACATCTTCACCAGTACCATCTCCTCTCAAACCCTAGTTCATCTCTTGTATCCGATCTTTGTCTCAAAACCTTAGATTGGTACGTGTGGGTTGCTACTAGTGTTTATTACTCCTTGTATTTCATGCTAGTTGGTTTATTTGGTGGAAGATCATATGTTCAGATCCTTAATGCTATTCAATACTGCTTAGATTATGAACATGAATACCATCTGTTCCATAGGACATGTGAGAAGTCTTGTTATAAGTAATCATGTGAATTTGGTATTCGTTTGATATTTCGATGAGATATATATATTTTGTCTCTCCTCTAGTGATGTTATGTGAACATCGACTACATGACACTTCTCCATGATTTGGGCCTAGAGGAAGGCATTGGGAAGTAATAGGTAGATGATGGGTTGCTAGAGTGACAGAAGCTTAAACCCTAATTTATGCGTTGCTTCGTGAGGGGCTAATTTTGATCCATAAGTTTCATGCTATAGTTAGGTTTACCTTGATTCTTGTTTCATAGCTGTGGATGCTTGCGAGAGGGGTTAATTATAAGTGGGAAGATTATCCAAGGAAGTACAACAACTAAGCACCGGTCCACCCACATATAAAATTATCAAAGTAACGAACACGAATCATATGAGCATGATGAAAACTAGCTTGACAATAATTCCCATGTGTCCTTGGGAGCGCTTTGCTTTAAGAGTTTTTACAGGTTTGTCCTTTGCTCCAAAAAGGATTGGGCCACCTTGTTGCACCTTAGTTACTTTTGTTACTTGTTACCCGTTACGAATTATCTTATCACAAAACTATCTTTTACCGGTAATTTCAGTGCTTGCAGAGAATACGTTGCTGAAATCCTCTTGTCATTTCCTTCTGCTCCTTGTTGGGTTCGACTCTCTTACTTATCGAAAGGACTACGATATATCCACTATACTTGTGGGTCATCAAGACTCGTTTCTGACGCCGTTGACGGGGAGTGAATCGCCTTTGGTAAGTGGAATTTGGTAAGGAAACATTTATATAGTGTGTTGAAATTACTGTCACTTGTTATTATGGAAAATAATCCTTTGAGGGGCTTGTTCGGGGTATCTTCACCTCGACCAAAAGAGCAAAGAGTTGCTCCTCAACCTACTGAACCTACTGAAAGTATTTACTTTTGAATTCCTTCGGGTATGATACAGAAACTACTAGCTAATCCCTATACATGAGATGGAACAGTACATCCCGATATGCACCTAATCTATGTGGATGAAGTTTGTGGATTATTTAAGCTTGCAGGTATGCCCGAGGATGTTGTCCAGAAGAAGGTCTTCCATTTATCATTGAAGGGAAAGGCATTGACATGGTATAGGCTATTTGATGATATTGGATCATGGAACTACAACCGATTGAAATTGGAATTTCATTAGAACTTTTATCCTATGCATCTGGTTCATCATGATCGTAATTATATATAAAAAATTTAGCCTCGTGAAGGAGAAAGTATCGCTCAAGCTTGGGGGAGTCTTAAGTCAATGTTATATTCATGCCCCAATCATGAGCTCTCATGAGTGTAAGTGCATCTAGTGCCACCCCTACTTGGTTTTGGAGTATTCACTACAACAGGAACCCCCTATATCAACGCATTTTTCCGTATCTAGAAGACCATATATGCGTTGTAAGTGTCTTTAGCAACGGTTTAGGATGCGTTGCCTTATCCGGCGTTGCTAGCGCATAATGCAACGCTTATATTTTCGTTGGTAAAAGAGACCGTTGCAAGAATACAACACATAAAACAGACTTGTGCAACACTTCTATGTGTTGGTGCTTATTGTATAGGAAACAAAGTTGCAGGGCTTGGCAACAAAGAATTTGCAACGCGGTTCATATATAATGTGAATAATATTTTTTATACATATTGCCAGCAATTAAATTAGTGCTTTACATAATGGTGATAATTATGAATTTCCAGTAAAGACAAACAAGAGAATATAATCACGGGAGGAAGAAATCATATATTAAATAAAATTGTTGGATTACAATAGTGCATATTACACAAGAAAAATCATCCAAATGCGAAGTATAATCTAAATGTTTCTTGACGGCGAGACTTAAGTTGAAAGCATCCATAAACATCCCTACAACATAACTAAAACACAATCGAGGAACATCATCCAACAGGAACATCATCCCTACAACTTAATTAAAACTGAAACCATCTGTCTTCATCATCATGAACAGGAACATCATCATCATCCTTGTAGTATACTTGCCACACACACCAATAGATTCATCCATTTATCTTTTGAATCTACAAACAAAAAAACAAAATGAACTGTTAACACACAATGCATTGACATGATGCAAGTAGTCATAGAGGGAGGATATTACTCACTTACAAAGGTTGAGATGCAAAAACAAATCTGCATTACCAAGAGTATTGCAGTTTTTGCGACTCCGTACCCAATCTTCAGTTTTCACAAGTGCCATATCAACATGCACTACCCAGAATTCATTAGTAATTTCAGCACCATCAAGTTCAAATTTAGGATCACAACTTACAACTCTAGCAAGAGCTACATGTGTTATGATTTTTTAGGCTCATTAAAAATACTTCTGTTCCTACCTGTTAGAGAAAATCAGAGTTACCATTGGCAGAATCATGTCAAGCAAAATAATTAATAGAAACATGACATATAACAAAAAAGGTTGAGAGGCCAAGACATGTCGTGTTTGCATCTTCCCCTCTACTATATGGTTATGAATACATCTACAGGTTAATCTCATGATGTGCATCATCTATGAAATTCTATGAAGCCTTTCACTGCAAACAAAGTAGTTTTGGTGATGGACGCTGAAAATAATTAAACTTCATATGATAGCTTCAGTGTAGAACACAAAGATATACATTTTTATTCGAGTAGCAGTATGGTATGATCAACTGCATAATTCTGAGGCACCTACCGGAAGATACTGAAGCAGTATGTTTGGCCATTAATCAAGTAAAAAAATATTACTATATCAATACCTGGGACATATTAAGCCAAAAGATAAATTAAATTTACCAAATTAGTGCAAATAAAACATACTAGACAATAAAAAGAAGCTTTGAAGCATAAGATCTATCAAAAATGAAGTACTCCCAGTACCGACCCAATGATTTTGCATGAAGTGCAGCATGGACAGCAGGGCGGATCAACCATTAGTTCATCTTTACCACCAACTCCTAATAAAATAGCTATTATATATCCAGATCAAACTCTAAATAGCACATCTGAGCAGATAAATCAAAGGCAGTGACACTATTAAGAAAAGGAGAAGACACGGCAGAGAAAACAAGACTGTAGTATGTTCGAACAAATAATTAGGATGTCTTGCTTGTAGACTACAAATACAAATCAGATATAGATACGTCGATCTATTTAGTTGGAAGTTGCAGGCATCCAAAAAATAATATTGAATGTGGTCTAATAATTGAACGACAATACAGATGGACCATGCCAATTAAAGTGATATAGAAATAATTGACATTATTTTTCTTTTTCTTTTTGCAATACATCCGTACATAACCTCATGATGAATCAGAAACATGGAGGTATTTATAAAGTTGCCATATGCTACAATTTTACTTCTCTTCTCCTCATGGTGTATATTCTTCCTTGTAAAGGAAAAGCACATCAAGAGAATAAAGGAGTGACACTACGGATGTAGGCAAGCATGGAATAAAGCGGAAGCACGAACCACAAAAGAAGTGTCTAGAATTTGGCAACCCAGCAGACAGAACCGTGTAGGTATATGTTGTTAATAATAGGAGAAGGGGACATCAATCAAATTCCAATAGCCAAGTGAATAAATGGAAAACATCCATGGTTTTGTATTCCTGGAACACAATCTAGTTCAGCTATCATTAAAAATACAGAAGTCAGATAAGTTGTAATAGGTGTGGAATTTTATCTAACATGTCACTTGACTAAATAAGTACTACTCATCTCAGCATAGTTTTATAAGATTTGTTTCTCTTCTACTATATTTAGGGGTTACGCAGTAAACAATTTCTGTGCATAAATCATAAGTAAATCGCAAGATCTGCTTCTATAAAAAAATTGATATGACACGCAGCTCACATAAGCATCTTTTTAAATGGCAAGCATAGCTCGTTGTAGATGTACTCAGTAATATTTTTCAGAGTTTTGTGACAAGCAACAGTAATTGATCAACAGATTACCTTCCTTACGCTCTTGAACTCCAACTATAGTGGGGAGAAAGCCTTATGCTGCCGAGTGTTAATGTCACTAGATGCTGATGGATGATCATGTGGAGAACTGTGGATCAGAAGCCCTCAGATCCAACAAGTACTCGGCTTTGCCATGCTCTGCACCGATGTCCTTCTCCCCCAGTGTCCCAGCGGCCTAGTTGACCGAGCTGCATAAAGCTGTCAAGTTGCTCCTCAGTTTGTAGTAGCAGAGAACACAGAGATCTAAATGGTCTTTTAAGCGAATGAAATATGTAAAAAAATACCGAATTGTGACTCAAATAAAATAGAGGGAGAAAGTTTTGGGGTCATGTCCATTGCAACATATTCAGTGCTTGAGTGCCATTGCATTTCTCTGCACCGAGTGGAGGTAATTATTACTTAGTAGAGAAAATTGATACTGTAACCTGCTCTGAAGTCTCGGAAACAAATATGACCATATGACGGTGTGAATGATCAGGCCTGCAACATAAGCAAGTGGCACCGTAAGCAGAAAGTGGAACTTTGAATAATCAACATCAACCACGAGAATAAGACAACAAGCCCTATTATACAATCAGTCAATCACATAATCAACAACAGGAACCAACGACTGCACAATCAAGTTCACTTCCATTGACTGGTCACAAGCTCCTAAGCCACAACTAGAATCAATTCAATCACAGAAAGAGGATTTAGCTGGAAGCTCCCCTCCACACCAACCAGCTGTAATTCAGTTTGTTGTTCATTATCAGGGATTGGCAAGTCGTAAGTACCAATCCCCAACTAGATTGAAGTGAAGCAGAGCATGATGGGGGCAACAAAATTGGGACAAGAGAAGCGGCCTGGCTCACCGCGGCGGCGCGATCGCGAGGGTGGTTGTAGCTGCAGCTCTTCCCGTAGTCGCAGGCCCCCGTGCGGAGGTAGTAGACGCAGTTGGTCACAGGGGAGAGTTGACGAGGCGCGGCGTGCCGGGATGCAGGGTATCAGCGGAGTGGTGACGAGGGACGATGCGCCAGGATGGAGGGTCGCGGGGGCGTGCCGGGACGGAGGATCTCAGGCGAGCGATGAGGGGCGCGCTCCGGGATGCAGGGTAGGTCGAGGGGAGGCGGCTGGCGAGGGGGCCTATAGGCTCGAGAGGAATAAGGGATGCTGGGGACAGGGAACGATCTAGGTTAATCATGACAACCAACTTGGGCCGGGCTAGAGATATGGGTTGGGCTTTTGTTCGAGTCTGGCCGGTCACAATAGGTCACGAGCTGCAAGCCTGCAACAGATATGGTACAATGCTTATATGTGTATCTATCGTGAATTTTGCAACCTATAGTCAAAACATTGTAAACTGTGTGTTGCTTTAGGGAGGGTATCCTTGTAGTGATTGACGACAAACCTGGTTGAGGGACTAATGTGTTTGTGAGAATTGTAGGATAACATAGGTTGTAGTCCCTCATTGATTTGGTTTACCTACCGGAGATGGCCCCTAAAAATGTGTGAAGACATTGAGGACAATAATGGTTTGTGAAGCTATTCACGTTGAAGACTATGACATGAGAAGACATCGTATGAAGACTATGGAGCGTGAAGACTTAGTTATTTTGTTGTTTCCTTGTCTTCTTTGTTGAGTCATAGGAACCACCGCACTGTTAAGTGGGGTCCAAGTGAATAAAGTCAGAGTGATTGAAGTGATGCTCAACCAAATCCTATGTCTTCCAGCGAAGACAATGAGAGCAAATCTTACCCAGAGTCGGATGAGTCAACTTTACTTGTAGCCCAAGTCAAGCTGCCACGTGGTTTTGAAATCTGACCGTTGGGACACGTGTCAGTTCCTTAGTGACCCAGGATCATTTCAGACAAATCAGGTCGGGTTGCCCAGTGGCTATAAATAGCCCACCCCCTACACCATAAATTAGTGGCTACTCAGAGTTAGTACACGGCTTTTGTCGTTTGAGAGCAACCCACCTCCGAAGCCTTTGAGAGAGAATCCTTGCAAGGACAAAGCCCAAACCACCCAGACCCCAAAGAGTGCAAGGCATCACTGAAGTCTTTCTGTCCGTGTGATCTGAAGACTTGTTACACTTGAGGACTGTGAATCCTCCAGCCGGTTAGGCGTCACGTTCTGAGAATCCAAGAGTCACTGTGGATTGCCGGTGAACGAAGTCTGTGAAGGTTTGGAAGTCTACCTTGAAGACTTACCAGAGTGATTGGGCGGGGACTAGGTGTCTTTAGCTCAAGGGGAATAAGGTGAATATGCGGTCTTCTGAGTTGAATCTGAGCCTCCCTAACCAGATGTACAGTAGTCACATCAACTGGAACTGGTCGAACAAATCTCTGTCCTCACCAAGCTACTGGTTCTATCTCTCACTTCTCTTTACTTACAGTTTGTCTTCGTGAAGTCATTGCCTGCTTGCATTATCTGTTTGACTTCATTGTGTGACTACTTAGTCTGATTGGCTTCATAGTATCTTCCATCCTAATCCTTACTACGTAGCCGCTGATAGTCTTCGTGCTTTCACTTCATTGAATACTTGACTATGACTTGCCTAGTGTAGTCTACCTTCCGCTGCATACAAATAGTGTCATTTCTATCGTTTGTCTTCGAAACTCCCATGTTTTGAAGACTTTCATAAAAATCACCTATTCACCCCCCTCTAGTCGATAACTAGCCGTTTCAATTGGTATCAGAGCAAAGTACTCCGTTGTTCTGTGTGATTCGGTTTAACCACCTGGAGTTTTAGCTATGTCGACTGCAGGGATAATCAAAGTCTCCGCTGCGTGCCCCCTCTTCGATGGCACTGAATATCCCTACTAGAAGAATTAGATGCGCATGCATATTGAAGCCATTGATGTCGATCTGTGGTATGTCATCAAGAACGGCGTTCCCAAGACCGGTGAAGGTGTGACCCCTGGTGATGTCAACAAGTTCATTCAACTGGACTCTACCGCCAAGAACATTATCTGTGGTCATCTAACCAAAGGACAGTATGTTTGTGTGAGTGCTCTAGAAACCTTCAAGCTAGTCTGGGACTGCTCTCCAAGGTCAATGAAGGCGTCTCAACTCAGAGAGATCAAAGGATCAGTGTCCTCCGCAACCTCTTCAACCGCTTCAAGCGACACGACAATGAGAATGTCCAGCTCACATTTGATCGCCTCACTGATATCACAAATAAGCTCGAAGCACTCGGCGCCACTGAGATCACTTGACAACTCATTTGACACCTTGGCCCTGATGATACAAGAACACCCTGACTTCAAGACTCTTGATCCGTCTGACACACTTGAGAGGCTAAACACACATGAGTTTCAGCTATCTGAGAAACGAGATATCTATAGCCCAAACTATGGCCGAACTCGTGCTTTGAAGGCAAAGG